ACACACACACACACACACACACACACACACACACACACACACACACAAAATACATGTGTGGTTCCCCAGACCAGCAGCATCAGCATCATCTGGGAGCTTGTTAGAAATGCAGACTATTGGGGGGTGGGGGAGCAGCCCTGGAGTAGGGGCTGTGGCAGTGCACGGGGACCCAGTGCGGTGGCTGCAGTGGCTGCAGGGCTGACAAGAAACTACTTAAGTTCCTGTGGAAGTAAAGTAGAATTTCATAAGAACATAATGGATGGAGAAGAGAAAACCTATGGTGGCTGTGAAGGCCCTGATGCCATGTATGTCAAATTGATATCTTCAGATGATCATGAATTTATTGTAAAAAGAGAACATGCACTAACATCTGGAACAATAAAAGCCATGTTGAGTGGCCCAGGTCAGTTTGCTGAGAACGAAACTAATGAAGTCAATTTTAGAAAGATTCCTTCAAATGTGCTACCAAAAGTATGCATGTATTTTACCTACAAGGTTCGCTACACTAACAGCTCCACAGAGATTCCTGAATTCCCAGTTGCACCTGAAATTGCACTGGAACTGCTGATGGCTGTGAACTTCCTAGATTGTTAAATAAAATAAATTATAATAAACTGTTAACTTTTTTCAGTATTTAAAAAAAAAAAAGAAATGCAGACTTATTTCCACCCCCATGCACCCACACCCCACACCTACTGAATCAGGACCTACATGTTAACAAAATCCCCAGTGCTTCCTGTGCACATTTAAGTTTGAGAATGGCCAGGGCCCTTGATCAGCAGTTCCTAGGCTTTATCAGAATCACTTAGGAAAACTTTTCAAAAGGACAGGTTCCTACCTCCCTACCCCATACACTGAATTAGATGCTAAGTGGTAAAGTCTGCAATTGGATATTTTTAAGGAACTCTCAAGGGTTGGTCTGATATGGAGCCACATGAGGAACCCCTGGGCTCTGAATGATGGTGTCATATACAAGTGACCAAAACGGGGTTCATTCCTCATGGGCCTCAAAACACAGATTGAATAATCAAGCTAATAATCACCAGGATGCCTCCAAGCACTGAGACATGACCCCAAACTAATATTCCAATGCACGGGTGGAATGTAAATAAATATTGGTGGCTCACATTTCAGTTTTCAAGAACATTTAAGTGCATTTGAAAAATACTTTTTAAAAGATTGTTTGTAGAAACATCATACTCTTTCCAGTCCTTCTTTGGCATAGAGTTTAATCAGATTTAAAATGGTGAGTGTTCTTTGTAAGGTTGTGTGTTTCTTTTCTTCTAGGGCATGTAAAACGAGACATCTGGGTTTTATCATTAAAGTGCTAAAACATGTCCAGCATTTTTAGGAAACTTTTAGGAGTTTATACACTATAGGTATTAGATATATTTGATAGAAGTCTATTCATTTAGTTTTTAAAAGTTTATGCATACCAATTTTTTTTGTTTCAGAAAAATATTTGAGTAAACCATTTAAGTTTCTGACTGTATTTTCCAGCACTTAGAAAATTAGGAGAAAATAGAAAGAAATCTTTTAGTCCCACCCTTATGTGAAAATATCTCATTTTCAGATATTCTTGGTTTTATATTATACACTGAATTCTCATCAATTCATAGCAAAATATGCTTTTACTCTCTTACTAGCATCTGTCAATTTATCTGTGGACATAAAAAGCATCTTCTTTGATTAATTTCTTCCCTGCCTGCAGAATTTCAGGAAAGATATAAAAATATAGATTTTAAAGAGTGAGGCTAGGTGTATTGTAGGCATATTCTGTGCATGAGTCTCAGACATGATGCTCCCCAGTCCTACCATGGAGCAGAGAAGTCAGGGAGGAGTGTAGAGTGGAAAAGCCAGGGAAACATAAGACATTAAAAAAAGTTGTAATTTCTAATTTCAAAGAAATGCCACATTAAATGTAGGTACCTCACAAAACCAAATCACTGGATACATGCCCATTAATATTAGTAAACTTGGCTAACCTTTCCACTGGGCTTATGAATGTACAAAGCACTTACCTCCTTTATCTCCTTTAATCCTGCAATTCTGTAAGGTAGGTGTGGCTCATAGGCCTGTTTTAAACTGAAGGCACAAAAGAAGAGAGACTAAGTAATTGGCCCAGTACCACACGGTTGGTTAGTAAATGTTAGAGTCGAGACTCGAAAACAGCGCCTCTGACCTCAAACACAGGCTCAGGCTGACCGCACTGCATCTAGTAAAGATTATTTGTCCAGTCAGCATCCCCAAAACATGATCTTGTTTTGGTTTGGTTTGCTTTGGTTTTTTGGTATGAAATATGTCACTTTCTAATACTTGAACAGTATGGTTTTGGTTTGTTTGTTGTTTTTTTTTTTACTTTTTAGTCTCTGTCATCAACACCCTAGGTGCTTTGCAAGTAAATATTTCTCTAAAGAGATTTCTTGAGCCAGAAACTGAACACATCTTTACTCCTCTGGAGTGAAGACTCAGCCCCTCTCTACAGGAAAAGCAAGGCTGGTGTTGGGCCCCCACCCCTTCTTGCCACAGTGCCACGTAACCCTCAAATTACCGACCCCAGACAGGTCATTCACTTTTATAGAGACTGTCAACACACCCTCAAAAGCTGTCAGCACTCTTAAACTTCTTTCACTAACTCTCCTGATGACAAGGAGCAGGATCTAACTTCAGCCCACTCGGCGAAATCCCAAGTCCTCCCAGCCTCATGGCCCCCATCTCCAAAACAAATCCCCTCTTCTGCTGATCTGAAGCTCACATCAACTTCCCCACGTCCAGTGTTTTGAGTTTCTGCAGCTGCTGTCCTGGGATTTGTGCCCTTGAGCTGTGAGTCAGGGTCCCCAACCCATTGTCCCCTGCTGTCACCGCTGAGCAGCCGCCTTCTTCCCTTCCCAAAACAGATCCTGGCAGGATTTTTCTGGAAAGGCTCTTCCTGCTGATACCTCCTCTCCTCCAGGAAACAGAGGAGGCTTCTTGGCTCTTCCTTCGACCTCTCTTGCCATCTGCAGTAAAGACAAATAGCAGCCACATCAACTTTAATGTGTTCTTGCTCCCGTTTTCCTTCTGCCTCAGATCTCCACTCCCCTAGACCCTTCCCCTTTTGGAGCGGGTGTGCAGGGCACAGCCGGAGAGCAGCTGGAAGGGGGAGAGTTCAGGCCGCCGCAGTGCGTGTGAAATTCTGCAGGCAGGGGGCTGCTGGTAAGGGCTGTGATATGGCAGGCCCGGGGCTAGCCACTCTTGTTTCATTGCCCTGACTCTTCTCCCTTTTGCTCCTCCTCTCCAAGTTTTGCCCAACAAGGATGCGCTGCCACCATCTCTCAGGCCCCCTGAGTCAGCGTCTTTAGCAATTCCTGGAGCTGCCAGCTCGCTTTTTCCTCACCGTCAACTTCTTCACTCAAGTGAGGCTGCCTCTGAGGCCCCACGGATGGAGGGAGAGTAGGACAGAAGGCGGCAGGGAGGGGTGGCAGTGCATCCGATCCTCTTCACAGAGATAATGGAAGCCCAGCAGGCCATAACTCTAGGATGCCCTGAGGTCAGGAGACCTGAGGTCTAGCCCTGGCACTGCCACTGACTAGCTGGGTGACCTTGGACAAGTCACCTCACCCCTCTCCTTCTTGGGGTTCTTCATCTAAAAAATAAAGGAAATGGGCTAAATAACCTCTAAGGTCTTTTGATTTATTAGCTGCCGTATTATGTAGTAGAACCAGATGTCTAAAACCACGTGTCTGCTCAGCTCTTTCCTCATCACAGCCTTGGCTATGAAATCAGAGTTGCCCGTGTGCTTTAATCTCATTTTGGATTATAAGAAAAATCTTCCTGTGTCTTGGCTTTAGAATTCTTCCAATGATACATTGATTCCAAATTTATGACACCAGTTAGAAAATCCTATGCTGCCATTTCTGACTATTTCTACCCTTCAAAGTCCACTCACACCATGCAGTTTCTAGAGATGAAAGGATGTGTTCTCAGGTTGGACAGATGCAAAGAGAAGTCTCCAGGATTGCCAGTGGAGATGAGCCTCTGGCTATGTTCACTTCAGGATAAGGAGTTTGGAGGAACCC